CCCTCCTTTCTCTTTTCTGTTTTACCCCTTAACCCCCCCCCCCATCTTCTCTTCCTTTCTCTTCTCCCTTTTTTTCTTATATATCTAGGCGGATTAGCTGGTCTACTCCTCCCGCTGGTAGTTTTCTGTTTTTTTTTTAATAGTTTTTTTTTTTTTTTTTTTTTTTTTTCTCTTCTCTCCCCCCCCCCCCCCAATCCTATTCCCATCCTTTTAGTACCCCGTGTTCCTTTTTTTTAGGTTGCTTTCACATTTCTCTTTGGACATGTCTTCTCCGTGGGGGGGGGGTGGGGGGGGAGGGGGGGGAAAAAACAAATCGTTGTCAGGACACTTGTCACTGAAAAGTTCTATCTCTTAATGTGAAGGGTTTGAACACACCTGAAAAACGCTCCATTCTGCTCTCCTATTTATCTAAACAAAGAGCGGATGTCGTTTTCCTTCAGGAAAACGCATTTTCGACAGGATGTCATTCCGCAAGCTCTTTAACTCACGTTATCCGACAGTCTATCATGCCCCTAACCCTCATGCCAAAAATCAAAAGGTGTCGCCATCTTGATTGCAAAACATCTCCCTTTAACTATAACGTAGTCGCCTCCCTGCCTGACTCAGAAGGTAGGTTCCTGTTTCTCTAAAAGGCACTTTTGCCAACAGACCCATTACACTGGCAAATTTATATGCGCCCATACCAAGCAGGTTCCCTTCTTCCGCTCAATCTCCGCCTCTCTTTCTTCTTTTCAGTCGGTGTGCTGATCTTGGGGGGAGACCTTAATGTCCCTTTATGCCCCTTATATTGGATTCTTCCTCGGGCAGTTCCTTTTTACCATACAAATCCCTAAGACAGATCCGCACACAACTCCAGGATTTACAACTTCACGATTCTTGGCGAATCTTACACCCGAATGTTTAAAGATTATACGTTCCTTTTCTCCTCCACACAATAAGTACTCTCCAGAATTGACTACATTCTTTCTCTCTCGCAAGTGGATCTGCCATTTCTCCTCATGACACCTCCAATTGAACCAATGGTCCTATCGGATCACCATCCCATAACCATGACTTGCGTTTTCTGAAAAACACTCCCAGCTCTAAGATTTGGAGATTGGACGCATCTCTTCTTTCCGACCCAACAGAACGAAGTCCGAGATCCGCTCCCAATTGGTAGATTTACTTCGCGACCAATCAGACTTCAGATACCTCCTCCTTGACGCAATGGGAGCACATAAATGCGTAAATTCGCGAGATTCCTTCATAGCCATGGCTACGAAGCGCTCAAAAAAGGAGATGACAAGCACATTTGCGACGACTTATTGGAGCGCAGTCATCCAGTTTTTTTTGGGGAAAGAGTTCACAAACACAGTCAAAGCGGCTTCTACCCCTTGACTGAACTCACACTCAACACTCGCACGCAGCTTTTGAACCGAACTGGGTAAGGTGGCAAAACGTAGATATGTCTTGTCTCAAAAATTTTTTTATGAGTTTGCAAACAAAAGCGGGCGATTCCTCGCCAGATCCCTCAAGAAGCGAAAAAGGGTCGAGCTTAATAACAATCCAACAAAATCAGGGGTCCAGAACGGTTCCTTTTGCCACCACTAATGCTGACATTGCTTCTCATTTTGAGCAGTATTATAAGGCATTATATAACCTCCCTCCGGAACGTCCCCCCACCTGAAACCAACAAACTGCAGAGCCACGGTGATCTCCGGACTTTCTTCATCTTATAGCCCTTCTGCACTTTCTGAGACATCCGCCCTGGGGAACTGGAGCAAAATATCACGGCTGAGGAACTGTCGCGGGCCCCGTCAAACAAATGAAGTCTGGTAAAAGCCCCGGGCCCTGATGGCCTGTCTGCGGTATATTACAAGGGAGTTTTATTACCCCGTCTTGTCCATCCTCCTTCCTCTCGGCTTTCAACACTTTCTCTTCGCTCCCTGTGCCGTGTCATCGCCTATCTATGAAGCGCACATCACTGTCATACCCAAGGGGGATAAGGATGCAACTTTGGTTTCCAGAATTATAGGCCCATCTCCCTTCTGAATGTAGACGTGAAACTTTATGCTAAAATTCTGGCCAACCGTCTCCTCCCCTTACTCCCCTTCTTTGATTAACCTCGATCAAGTGGGTTTCATCCCTGGCAGGGAAGCGAGAAAAGACAATACTATCAAGGCCCTCAACCTTATCCATTGGCTTCGCACATCAAAGTCTCCTGGGTTCCTTCTCTCTTTGGATGCTGAAAGGCCATTGACAGAGTGTCCTGGGATTATTTGAGGGCAACCCTTCAGAGCGATTGGTTTGAGAGAACACATGCTTAATTTCATCATGACCTTGTATTCTGGACCCACGGCAACAGGTTCGGGTGAATGGCCATTTATCGAACCATTTCTCTCTCGGCAATGGCAACGCGCCAGGGCTGCCCCCTTTCTCCTCTCCTCTTTGTGCTATCATTAGAGCCACAGCTGCGTAAACTCCGTTCCAACCCCAAATATTAAGGGCGTTTCCGCTCCGGCTCAAGAGTAATAAACTCGCCGCCTATGCGGATGACATTTTGCTTGTTTTCTAACGGAACCTCGGACCACCTTGCCCAATTTGCTTAAAGATTTCTCACTTTTTCAATACATGTCGAACCTTAGAATCAACCATTCAAAGTCTAATTGCCCTCAATGTCACCCTCCCTTCTGATGTAGTCTCATTTTGCCGATCGCAGTTCCCGTTTTAGATGGGACAGTGAAACTCTCACTTACCTGGGCATTCAGCTTACGTGCGACCTCTCTGACCTTTATGTAAAAAACTTTATCCCAGCACTTAAATCCATTCAGGAAGATCTCACTAAATGGCATCGACCATGCTTTTCCTGGTTCGGCAAAGCTGCTATATTAAAAATGAACATTCTCCCCGCCCCCTCCTCTATTTATTTCAAACCTTACCTATCTACTTGCCACCCGCCTTTTTCGCTTCATGTAGGAGAATGTGCTCCTTCTTCCTTTGGAACCACAAGCGTCCGCGCATATCTTTCTGCCAATTGGTTCTCCCCAAATCCAGGGGTGGGATTGGGCTTCCAGACCTCAGGCAATATCATTGGGCCTGCCATCTTTGCAGAATTATAGATTGGAATATTCATTCAACTACCAAAGACTGGTGCATCTCGAAAACTCCTTCTCTCCTTCTCCTATAGCTTCGATCCCGTGCTCTTGACGAAACATACCCCCCAGGCCCTTCTCACTCATCCACTGATTGGTCCTACCTTGCGCATCTTCCGCTTGACATGCAAGTCGGCCTCCATCTCGGATGCCCCCAACCCCTTTAACCTCCCTTTGCTTAAACCCCGGACTTCCCTCCGGGTATGCACAAGGCCTTCCTGTCGGAACATTGGCCGTCTGACCAGTGAAAGCGGAACACTTTTTTCATAAAGGCCAATTGAAATCCTACTCCTCTTGGCGAGCACCATGAAAGATCGTACCTTCCCCTTTTGGGCTTACCTTCAAATCAGGCATTTTCTCACAATCCTCTGCTCACCGCCTCAAATGGACTCGTCCTCTCACCCCCTTTGAATCAATTTGTTCTAAGGCTGAACCCCAGCGGCATCTAATCTCATCCATGTACCTCCTTCTCACCGGTGATGGGAATCCTAACTCGCTCCCCGCTTGCCGAGCTTGGAGGAGAGACCTTGATATAGATTTTTCTTCCTCAGATTGGGAACCAAAATTTTTTACATACTCCCACAAATGTTCGCTGAATGTATCGACCCAAGAAAACGGATACAAGCTAGCTTCCCGTTGGTACATTACCCCTTCCAGAACTCATCGTTTTAACCCTTCTCTACCCAATAATTGTTGGAGATGTGGAGCACCCGATGGGTCCCTTCTCCATATTGGTGGTCCTGTCCTATCGTCCTGCCCTTCTGGCGGGAAGTCCACCGTATAACCTCGTCAGTGTCCACTTTACCTCTCGATTTCTCCCCCGGCCCAATTTTCTCCTCCACCATACACACCGCTCCCCAAACGTCTTACTTCCGATCGTTAGCAATGCATATGATTAATGCTGCTAGACTTTGTCTTCCTGTGCTTTGGAGATCTACTCAACCCCCCTCAATAAAAGATTGGTTCACTCGTCTGGGAAGAATTGCAGAGATGGAGGAGCTGATTGCTTCCTCCCAAGATAACCCGACTAAATTCTCCCATACTTGGTCGTGTTGGACCCACTTCCAAACGACCCCCGACTACCAATCCCTCATGGTCTTTCTACCTGACTCTGAGCCAGACCTGTGGCTTTGTATTACACTCTGTATTGTACTGACTCCTCGACCCTTGCTGGGCTGTCGATAACACTTTTCTATTATAATCCCTTTCACTGATCAGGTAGTGAGACACTCCTTTTCCCTGGTGCCCGATTGTCTGCTTTATGTCTCTATCCCCTAGGGGATGAGCACACCAGCTCTGTCCTTGGAGCTTCCACCTATGTGACATGTCTATCCATACCCCCCCCCCCCCCCCCCTTAGTCTCCTTCCCCTTCGACCCTTACCCCCCTTTTTTTTTTTTTTCTCTTCTTCCTTCTTTGGCTTTCCAGCTTCTCACCATTTTTTATTTTTTCTTTCCTCCCGACTCCTTCCTCGTTGTGCCCTGTACCTGCCAGTACTGTCTTTGCTGTTTTTCACATCTTCTCCACTTCATTTTTTTCCCTTTTTCTTTTTCCTCTACACTTATGTTTATTCCGCTGTCCATAGGCAAACCTAATCTCACACCCGGAACACACTTGCACATGTGCCTCTCCCATTCCACGGAGTAATTTTTCATATGCGTTGGCTACCTTTGAGTGGTAACCTTTGCTGCTCCTCCTGGATAACACCGAGCTTTCCTATACCACCGAGCTTTTCTAAACTTCCTTCCTTGCCGAGCTTTCACTTCTTCCTTGCACCAGAAGCCCAGCACCTTTAGCTTTATTCCCTTCCCCCCTACTCTGCTACTCGACGATGAAAGAAATCTGGGGTGCAAATAAATGATCCTGCTCGTTTGGTGATATTTTGTATGCTATGTGGTGCTTATGATTGGTGTTTGCCTTCTTTTTTTTTTTTTTTTTTTTTTTTTTGCTGTGTTCTCGTGTTTTTTTTTTTTTTTTTTTTTTTTTTTTTTTTTTCTTCTCCAAGTTCAACTTCATTATTGTTACAGGTGACACGAGAGGGCTTTATTATTTTGTTCACCTGCATATTTCTTATTGTTTGGCATGTGCGATTTGTGTTTTTAAACCGCGTTTTTCTTTGGCACATTGTATTACATTGTACAATTTATACCATTTATATGTTTTGACTTTTTCTCAATAAACTTTGTGGAACAAAAAAAAATAATGGATATGGATACAACTGTAGGGCTACCATTTTGAAAGCTGCTGGCTTTGGGTCCCCCTTATTTCCTGCACAGTCAGGCAACAGACACAAGAAACAGCCCCTGGGCTTGGTTTTTAGGACTTATTAGGGAGGTCAGCTTGGATGGGGATGCCGAAACCACAACAGTCTTTATCCAATTAATCCTCTACTAGGAATTTGGTGTCCCCTGAGTGGAGTGACAACTTGTAGGAACTCTTGGTCCCCTTAGTGAAGAAAAATACCAGTCCACCTGGCTACGGTATCTGATCCCAGGACAAAGGATTGGGTCAGCATTAGACTGTCCCCTGAAGACTTGCCAAGAACTTTCATCTAGCAGATCTCTTCCTTCTAGGCCCTGGGGTGTAGAGATCCTCACACTGCCTTGTCCCTGCAGCTGTGGATAGAACTGCTTTCTGGCTTTCTGTTTGGCTGGTTATTTTCCAGGCTTTGCAGGTTGTCCTTCTTCGGTGGGCAGTAGGACAGTGGAGCTTCCTCTTTCAGCTTTCCTCCTTCCTGTAGGCAGAACCACCTTCTCCAGGGCCCTCTCCCAGGCTACACAGCAGCACTTCACTTCTCTATCTTCCTCCACCCTCCAGCCTGGAGGCAGAACTCCCCTTTCTCTGGGACCCCCTCCCAGGCTACACAGCAGCACTTCACTCCTCTATCTTTCTCCAACTTCCAGTCTGAAGGCAGAACTCCCCTTCTCTTGGGCCCCCTCCCAGGCTACACAGCAGCATTTCACTTCTCCATCTTCCTCCAACCTCCAGCCAGGAGGCAGAACTCCCCTTCTCTTTGGCCCCCTCCCAGGCTACACAGCAGCACTTCAGTCCTCTATCTTCCTACAACCTCCAGCCTGAAGGCAGAACTCCATTTCTCCGTGGCCCCCTCCGAGACTACACAGCAGCACTTCACTCCTCCATCTTCCTTCAACCTCCCGCCTGAAGGCAAAACTCTCCTTCTCCGAGGCTCCCTCCCAGGCCACACAGCAGCACTTCATTCCTCCATCTTCCACCCGACTCCCCTGCTAACCAGGCTCTGTCATATTAATGGAACAGTAAAAATAACTAAAGTGCAGCGCTCAATGGATATTATAGTGGAAGGCTCCTTGTGAGATAAATTATATCAATAAAGTTCGAAAGCTGTAGTTTCCTATGAGGTAGTTATCCCACTGGAAATTGTGACTGAAATAGCAGAAGTGTGCACTCACCAGAAGCACATGAATAATGCGCATGTGGGAATAATAATCCTAGATGATCTGTAGTCAGCAGGTGGTGGGCATCCTTCTGTGGTCTGGTCAGTCAGCCTGGTATGGTATGAGATACTGCTAGGTCCAGAGGTCCCCTTAAGGGTTGATGGGCGCTCAGCCTGCATACAGGGCTCCTTCCTCTGGATGCTGGATGGCTCTGGATGCTCGTGGCTCCGGCGGCAAAACGACGTCACGCTCTGTGCAGCTCCTCCTAAGGCTTTTTGTGCTAAGGCACATCATCAGAGGGTCCAGCCTCCCCTTTGATGATGTGCCTTATCACAGAAGACCTTAGGAGGAGCTGACGTCATTTTGCCGCCGGAGCCACGAGGAGACTCGGTCGCCATATTTTAAAGGGTCAGTGACACATTTTATACCTGGATTACATTTGTGCTTGATTTTACCATGTTTACTGCCCTGTCATTTCCTTATATTTGAATAAACTTCAGTTTTGAGAAATACTACACTATCTTGGCACCTGTTCTTGAGCTCCCATGTAGAGCTGTTACGTCTACAGAACCAATCCTATGCCATCCAGCATCCAGAGGAGGGAGCCCTGTATGCAGGCTGAGCGCCCATCAACCCTTAAGGGGACCTCTGGACCTAGCAGTATCTCATACCATAACCAGGCTGACTGACCAGACCACAGAAGTATGCCCACCACCTACAGATCATCTAGGATTATTATTCTCACATGCGCATTAATCATGCGCTTCTGGTGAGTGCGCACTTCTGCTATTTCAGTCACAATTTCCAGTGGGATAACTACCTCGTAGGAAACTACAGCTTTCAAACTTTATTGATATCATTTATCTCACAAGGAGCCTTTCACTATAATATCCATTGAACGCTGCACTTTAGTTATTTTTACTGTTATTACAAAGGTCACTGTGGGTACCTTAAGTGTTCAGCTGCTGTTTATCTAAGAGCGCTCACTATATTCCATATTTATGGAACAGTCTGCCACACTGCCAGGACCCTCTGCTTGGGATTGGTCAGACTCCCATAAATATGCAGATCCCTCTCCCTTTAGATTGTAAGCTCCATGAGCAGGGCCCTCCAATTCCTTCTGTATTAAACTGTCCAGCCTGGAGGCAGAACTCTTCTTCAGGGCCCACTCCCAGGCTACACAGCAGCATTTCAATCCTCTATCTTCCACCAACCTCCAGCTTGAAGGCAGAACTCCATTTCTCCAGGGGCCCCTCCCAGGCTACACAGCAGCACTTCACTCCCATATCTTCCTCCAACCTCCAGCCTGAAGGAAGAACTCCATTTCTCCAGCTGCCCCCCTCCCAGGCTACACAACAGCATTTCACTTCTCCATCCTCTTCTAACCTCCAGCCTGGAGGCACAACTCCCTTTCTCTGGGATCCCTTCCCAGACTACACAGCAACACTTCACTCCTCTATCTTTCTCCAACCTCCAGCCTGGAGACAGGTCCCCCCTTCTCCAGGGCCCCCTCCCAGGCTACACAGGAGCACTTCACTTCTCAATCTTCATCCAACCTCCAGCCTGAAGGCAGAACTCCATTTCTCTGGTGGCCCTTCCCAGGCTACACAGCAACACTTCACTCCTTTATCTTCCTCCAACCTCCAGCCTGGAGGCAGAACCCCATTTCTCTGGGGGGCCCCTCCCAGGAATATTTTTGGCCATGACTGTATATGCAGCTGGGTGAGGGGAAATTAAGTAAACCTGTTGCTTTGGCCTGGATGGGCAAAGTACAGGTTCTCTTTAAACTGCAAAAAAAGTAAAAAAGACGCAAAAGCCAAAGTTAATCTTTATCAAAGGAAAGTCTACTGAGTACGTTATATTTCTATAGTTGTGTTGTATCGTTGGGATTTCCCCACACAACTGTTGACTAGAGAATTGCTAATAAGGGTCATTTGTCAGCTTCCCTTAGTTTTCCGTGTGGTGGAGTCGGTAAGCCGATCCAGATTAGTGATTTATTGCCAATCAACCTGTCAGCAGCCATTCTTCTCCTCTACTTTTCCATTTGTTAACGGGCTATGTCACATTCACTTCGTAATTACATGAAACAAACAATGCGGCAGCCAAGTAGCAATTTTATTGTCAACACCTTATTAAAAGGGAAAGTATAATCTTATCAATCTTATTTTAAATATAGTCGCTGGAGATTAGCTTGATTTAATGTGGAAATTCAACCAAAAACCTTTTTTTTTAGTTTTGGATGAAGTGAGGAAGAATTGGAATCCCCACTGAGTGTTTATTGCTACCCAGGGCTCTGCTATGGTGGCCACCCACATGGAAAAAAAATATATTGAAATACATTTTAAAAATATTCTTCCCAAATATATTGACATATATTTGAAATACTAGAATTTTGGCCGTATGCAATATATTTCAAAATATATTTCAATAAATATATCCGGGAGAGCGGATATAGTGAATGCGGGGTCTGGGGAGAGAGGATATAGTGAATGCAGGGTCCGGGGAGAGCGGATATAGTGAATGCGGGGTCCGGGGAGAGCGGATATAGTGAATGCGGGGTCCGGGGAGAGCGGATATAGTGAATGCAGGGTCCGGGGAGAGCGGATATAGTGAATGCGGGGTCCGGGGAGAGCGGATATAGAAAATACAGGGTCCGGGGAGAGCGGATATAGTGAATGCGGGGTCCGGGGAGAGCGGATATAGTGAATGCGGGGTCCGGGGAGAGCGGATATAGTGAATGCAGGGTCCGGGGAGAGCGGATATAGAGAATACAGAGTCCGGGGAGAGTGGATATAGTGAATGCAGGATCCGGGGAGAGTGGATATAGTGAATGCGGGGTCCGGGGAGAGCGGATATAGTGAATGCGGGGTCCGGGGAGAGCGGATATAGTGAATGCGGGGTCCGGGGAGAGCGGATATAGTGAATGCGGGGTCCGGGGAGAGCGGATATAGTGAAAGCAGGATCCGGGGAGAGCGGATATAGTGAATGCAGGGTCCGGGGAGAGCAGATATAGTGAATGCAAGATCCGGGGAGAGCGGAGATAGTGAATGCGGGGTCCGGGGAGAGCAGATAGATATAGTGAATGCGGGGTCCGGGGAGAGCGGATATAGTGAATGCGGGGTCCGGGGAGAGCGGATATAGTGAATGCGGGGTCCGGGGAGAGCGGATATAGTGAATGCAGGGTCTGGGGAGAGCGGATATAGTGAGTGCGGGGTCCGGGGAGAGCGGATATAGTGAATGCGGGGTCCGGGGAGAGCGGATATAGTGAATGCAAGATCCGGGGAGAGCGGAGATAGTGAATGCGGGGTCCGGGGAGAGCGGATATAGTGAATGCGGGGTCCGGGGAGAGCGGATATAGTGAATGCGGGGTCCGGGGAGAGCGGATATAGTGAATGCGGGGTCCGGGGAGAGCGGATATAGTGAATGCAGGGTCCGGGGAGAGCAGATATAGTGAATGCGGGGTCCAGGGAGAGCGGATATAGTGAGTGCGGGGTCCGGGGAGAGCGGATATAGTGAATGCGGGGTCCGGGGAGAGCGGATATAGTGAATGTTAGGGACATGCGTGCGTGCACCAGCTGCTAAGTTGTTAACCCCCCTTATCACTGGCTACAGTGCCACTGCGACTAAACCCCGGTGGGCGGGAGGAAATGCATCAGAGGGCGTGGCCAGAGCAGCAGCTGAGGCTATCTCATACATCGAACTCTCTGGGCTGGTTTGAATGGCGTCCATTTCTTCATTACATCGGAGCTCCTGGAAGCATTCTGAGATGCTGCTCCTTCCACATACCGGCGGGGTGACTCTCTCATGCTTCTCCAGCTTGGAGCGGGGCCACAAATGTTTTTTTTCTTCGGTGAAGAAGTGGCATATTTCAGCTATAAAACATCTTTTGGTTTAATAAATATATTTGATGCTCTTTACTCATAACCATGATGACTTCCACCCATCCTTCACCAATACCACATGACACCGCACATCTCTGCCATACCAACGTTCAATAGTTTTTTTTTTGCTCCAGCTCAGAAAGCTTATCACCCTTCTTTTTCCAGAGGTCTTCAGGCCAATCAGGTGATACAAAGGACTATCTTCACCTTCTGCCAGTGGGTGGGTGTCCCTCCATGGTCATGATGCAGAGGTGTTGACATCAATGGAACGCTCACATCTTTCAAACTGAATGCAAGGTGGGGGATGAGTCTATGATACCCTGCACTCACAGGATGTCCTCAGTCACCCAGGGGACAAAGCTGAAGATATCTAGTAATCAAGGAAATACCGCCAGGATCACACCAAAGAGGAGGCAAGTAATATATCCCCAAGGTGATCTTTCTTAACCCCTTAACGCCAGATTGGCTTCTGTACTCTGGTTCTCACAATGGTCACATGATCGGGAGCTCATGTTGCTGGTGGCTACTGATCAAAAGCCTTAACTAAGAGTTGTCAGTGACAGCACGCAACCTCCTGCTACCATGAATGCATACACTATATTGCCGAAAGTATTGGGCCGCCGGCCTTTCCACGCACATGAACTTTAATGACTTCCCAGTCTTAGTCCGTAGGGTTCAATATTGAGTTGGCCCCGCCCTTTCCACACACATGACCTTTAATGGCCCCCCAGTCTTAGTCCGTAGGGTTCAATATTGAGTTGGCCCCGCCCTTTGCAGCTATAACAGCTTCAACTCTTCTGGGAAGGCCGTCCACAATGTTTAGGAGGGTGTCTATGGGAAGGTTTGACCATTCTTTCAGAAGCACATTTGTCAGGTCAGGCACTGATGTCGGGGGAGGAGGTCTGGCTCGCAGTCTCCGCTCTAATTCATCCCAAATGTGTTCTATGGGGTTGAGGTCAGGACTCTGTGCAGGGCAGTCAAGTTCCTCCAATCCAAACTGGCTCCTCCATGTCTTTATGGACCTTGCTTTGTGCACTGGTGTACAGTCATGTAGGGACAGGAAGGGGCCATCCCCAAACTCTTCCCACAAAGTTGGGAGCATGAAATTGTCCAAAATGTCTTGGTATGCTGATGCCTTAAGAGTTCCCTGCACTGGAACTAGGGGGCCAAGCCCAACCCCTGAAAAACAACCCCACACCATCATACCCCCTCCACCAAACTTTACACTTGGCACAATGCAGTCAGGCCGTTCTCCTGGCAATGATGTAATCCAGACATGGCCATCGGATTGCCAGACAGAGAAGCGTGATTGGTCAATCCAGAGAACACGTCTCCTCTGCTCTAGAGTCCAGTGGCGGCGTGCTTTACACCATGGCATCCGAAGCTTTGCATTGCACTTGGTGATGGAAGGCTTGGATGCAGCTGCTCGGCCGCGGAAACCCATTCCATGAAACTCTCTACGCACTGTTGTTGGGCTCATCTGAAGGCCACACCAAGTTTGGAGGTCTTTAGCTATTGACTCTGCAGACAGTTGGCGACAGGGGCGGACTGACCATTTGGAAACTCGGGCACTGCCCGAGGGCCCGGGGTCAGTAGGGGGCCCCATGAGATGCCCCTGGTACCTTTATCATAGGCTTTTTTGAGTTTGGGCAAGGACACAGGGGCCCCTTGATCCTCTATTGCCTGGGGGCCCCATGAGTTGTCAGTCCAACTTCTGCGCACTGTGCACTTCAGCATGCGCTGACCCCGTTCTGTCATGTTATGTGGCCTACCACTTGGTGGCTGCTGTTGTTAATAATCCCACTAACAGTTGAGCGTGGAATATTTAGTAGCCAGGAAATGTCACGGATGGACTTATTGCACAGTTGGCCACCTATCACGGGACCACGCTTGGAGTCACTGAGCTCCTGAGAGCGACCCATTCTTTCACAGATGTTTGTAGTAGTAGCCTGCATGCCTAGGGGCTTGATTTTATACCCCTGTAGCCATGAAGGTGATTGGAACACCTGAATCACATGATTTGGAGGACTGGCCTAATACTTTTGGCAATATAGTGTGTGTGTGTGTAGGCAGGTACAGTTTAGCCTCTCCTCTGTAGTTGTTGTTCTGCCAGCCGCTGTGCAGTGGGACTAGAGGTTGAGAGGAGCTTTTTTTTCTCTGAGGCCACCATAGGTGTCATCTGAGAAAAGTTGTCCAGTTGGACACTGCTGCCCTTAATGGCCTCCGCAGCCATTTTTAGGCTTAATGTAGGCAGGCAGCTCCTAGCTTTTGGCATTTTTTTTGCCAAAGCTCCTAAACTCAGCTCCTGAAAAGCCTATGTGTTCATGTACACATAGGCATTTAGCAGAGTTTAGGAGATTCCATGTTTAGATGAGGCTAAACCTCCCTCTCTTGAACGAGGAAGAATCTCGTTTTGGATAGGAACGTTTTGACCATCGGACGCAGGAAAACGCAGCCGCAATGGAACTGACCCAGACTGCGCTTGAGTACTTCCATTAGAATACCGCTTTCCCATCTGAACACCGACAACAGACACCACAGCCGACCATACAAGAATAAACGACACCAGTCTTGAAGTAAATGAGGAGGTAGACTAGTTTATTTGAACACAGATACAAGATATATACACTCGGGGGACAGTCCCCCCTCCCTGCATAATGACACAGGGCGGGGAAATCTACATTTAGTAACAAGAGACACACAGGTATTCAAACTTCACACCAGCAGACAGTCCCATCAGGAGGGAGGGCTGCTGGAGACACCCCCCCACTAAGCTAATACATATAAACACATACATCCCATAATAGTTTGCTGCCAAACAATAGAACAATGGAATGCAGCCACATAACATCAAACAATCAACAACCCCCCACTCCAATATTAGGACAGATCACCCTGTACCCCTAACAGGCACAGGGTGGCTTACACATAATAGGGATATGGGGAGTTGAAACAGGGGTCTCCCCACCTCTCCAAAGTGAGCTGGGTTACATGGGCCCCCCCACCCAAAGTGACTCCCGTCACAGCGTCAAAAACACGTGTTTTTGCCACATTTTAAACATTTGCCACGTTTATACGCATTTTTGCCACATTTTGCGTTTTCCTGCAGTCAGGGTAGGCTAGAGGGCATGTAGCCTTAGTGAGGGCAATGCAAATAAATAGCACTGTCCCACTGTAGTTGGTGTGCCTTTGCGAAGTGGATAGTGAAGGGACAGGATCCCACGCTGGCTAGGGACAGTGTACTTAGTTGAGTAGGGATAGCACAGGGGTACTACACCTGGCTCCACCATCTAGAAATCTTAGAGAGCTTGAGATGAAGACCTCCCTATCTGGTTACTAAGGCTCCTGGACTGCTGTTCTGTCAGTCGGTCAGATGCTGTTCCAGTAACGTAGCCTACCTGTCTCCTCAAGAGCTTGGCGGCCCACCACAGTGCATACACTGCAATGCAGTGGCAGCCACAGGCACCGTTCCATACTGGTATGTTGCTGCCCATTTCCGAAAATCAGGAGCACAAGAGTGGGCCCCTGCCCACCCACTCCCCTGTGAATTGGCACAGTGGGAGTTCATCTACAGATCACCACTGATTCATGGCCTGGACCCACTGATTGGCTGTGTCGAATCACAGGGGCGGACTGACAACTCATGGGGCCCCCCCGGGCAAGAGGGGATCATGGGGCCCCTGTGTCCTTGCCCATACCCAAAGCACACCCAAAAAAGCCTATAAAAAAGGTACCATGGGCATTTCATGGGGCCCCCTACTGACCCCGGGCCCTCGGGCAGTGCCGAGTGCTCGAATGGTCAGTCCGTCCCTGCCTGTGTCGACATACAGCACAGAGCTCTATAAAGAGGGAATGATCACTTTGTTTTTTCACCCTGCTAAGCAGGGAAAAGAAACAAATCAATTTGCGGCAAAAGCTGCACACAACTAACCCTTTGATTGGCCCTAGATGTTAAACCTTCCTGCCCAGTGTCATTAGTGCAGTGTCAGTGTATATTATTAGCACTGATCACTGTATTGGTGTCAGTAGCACTTAGTTCCCACAAAGTGTCAGTGTCAGATTTCCCGCCGCACTATAAGTCGCTGATCGCTGCCATTACTAGTATAAAAAAAAAAAGAATAAAAAAATGCAGTATATATACCATAGTTTGTAGATGCTATAACTTTGACAAAAAACAATTAAAATACACTTTTGCGGATTTTTTTTTTTAAACCAAAACCATGTAGCTGAATACGTTGTGGCCTTTGTGAAGCATTGTTCATTTCTGTGCATTGTCAAGAAATTAGAATTTAAAATTTTTTAAATGAATATGTTCTCTTTTTGTTTTTTTGTAATTTTCAAATTTTCAGCTCTATCTGTGTGAAAAATGATATAATTTTAATTTGGTTACAGTGTTGCATTACCAAGCAATTGGCAATTAAAGTAGCGCAATGCAGAATAGCAAAAAAATGCCCTGGTTTTGAAGGGGGTAAAACCTTCCGGAGCTCAAGTGGTCAAAGTACCACCAATGTTGTTAAGAGCTAATACACACAATCAGAAGATCGGAGGACAAAAATCGCTTTCGCAGGGATCATACGATAATCTGGTCATTAGTACACAGCTTTCAACAGCCAATCACAACAGCTCATGCGACAATATCAGAAGGAACAAGAACAATTTTTTTCTTGTACAATAACAGCAATTTTTGTTCAATCATTACAGTACTCGTCTGAAAAAAATCGAGAGACCAAGACCACGCATGCTTAGAAATGACATAATGCAATACAATACAATAAAATATATTATTACTATTCTTATTATACAGGATTTATATAGAGCCAACCAGGGGCGGACTGACAACTCATGGGGCCCCCAGGCAATAGGGGATCATGGGACCCCTGTTTCCTTGCCCACACTCAAAGCTCACCCAAAAAAGCCTATAAAAAGGTACCAGGGGCATTTCATGGGGCCCCCTACTGACCCTAGGCCCTCGGGCACTGCCCGAGTGCTCGAATGGTCAGTCCGCCCCTGGAGCCAACAGTTTGCGCAGTGCTTTACAATGTGAGGACAAACAGTTCACTTACAATACAATGGAACACAGGAGGAGCCAGAGGGCCCTGCTCGTTAGAGCTTACAATCTAAAAGGGGAGGGTCAAGTGATACAAAAGGTAATAACTGTGGGGGATGAGACGACGGAGAAAATACATGTACAGTTGTTAGGTGGAGGCAGGATGGGCTTCTCTGAAGAGAAAAGTTTTCAGGGATCGCCTAAAAGTGGACAGAGTAGGAGATAGTTGGACAGAATGGGGTAGGGAATTCCATAGGATGGAGGAGGCTCGGGAGAAGTCCTGCAGGCGAGCATGGGAGGAGGTGACAAGGGAACTAGGGAGCAGGTGGTCTTGAAAGGAACGAAAAGTATGATTTGGTTGGTATTTTGAGACTAGGTTAGTGATGTAGCTGGGGGCCGAGTTGTGGATGGCTGTCAAGGATCGCCGCGGCGCTGCTCCCGGTGCAGGCGCAGTGTGCCGTCTCATGCGGGGATGCGGGCACTAGGTCCCGGCCAGCCACGGCGACGGAGTCCGCGCATGCGCACTGGCATTCGCGGGGGCGCGCCTGGCACCAATGACAGCGCAGGGCGCGGTATTTAAATCCCCCCTGTGCTGTCACTGTTTTTTTCTGTGATCTCTGTTCCTGAACCTGTATTGTGAGTATCTTTGACCCGGATTGCCTGACTTTGCTGATTTCTCCTGTCCTGACCCCTGGCTTGCCTGACCCCGCTCTTGAATGCCCCTTTATAGATCTGACCTCCTGTTACTGACCTGGCTTGTGATCCGACCATTCTTTGCCTGCTGCTTTGTACTGCACCGACCCCCCGGCTACAGACTCAGCTTGTCTGACTTTGCACTTGCTCAGCCATCCATCCATCCGTCCATCCCACCGTGATCTCCCGGCCTCCTCATGTCAGGCTCTCACCCTGCGGGAGCCTCTGTCGGACTCCTCTACCACTGGTGGGTGTACCCGGTAGTCGCGACCTGGTCTCATTACACTCCAAGTCCATCCCCACCATCAGGGGCCCCGGTGAACAAGTGATCCGGGACTTAGACTCCGCGCTCTGGGGAAACCTAACCAGTGGGTTGCTAGAGGTGCCGCCAGTTGGTCCCTTACAATGGCTTTGTAAGTTGTTATTAGTATTTTGAATTTAATTCATTGGGGGAGTGGCAGTCAATGGAGGGAATGGCAGAGAGGGGTGGAGGACATTGAATGGAAGCCAGTGAGGGATTGGCAGAGAGGGGTGAAGGACACTGAATGGAGACCAGTGGAGGGATTGGCAGAGTGGTGGAGGACACTCAATGGAAGCCAGTGTAGGGTTTGGCAGAGAGGGGTGAAAGACACTCAATGGAAGCCAGTGGAGGGATTGGTAGAGAGGGGTGGAGGACACTCCATGGAAGCCAGTGGAGGGATTGGCAGAGAGGGATGGAGGACATTGAATGGAAGCCAGTGGAGGGATTGGTAGAGAGGGGTGGAGGACACTGAGTGGAGGCCAGTGGAGGGATTGGCAGAGAGGGATGGAGGACATTGAATGGAAGCCAGTGGAGGGATTGGCAGAGAGGGATGGAGGACATTGAATGGAAGCCAGTGGAGGGATTGGCAGAGAGGGGTAGCAGACACTGAACGGTTGGTAAGGTGCATATGCCTGGCAACAGCATTCATGCTGGACTGGAGAGGGGATAGCCTATGGAAAAGTAAGCCAATGAGGAGGGAGTTGCAGTAGTCAAGGTGAGAGATAACCTAGGAGTGAATTAGGAGCTTTGCTGTGTCATTGGTTAGGAAGAGGCATATTTTGGAGATGTTGCGGAAGTTGACACGGCAAAGTTTTGGAAAATGATTGGATGTGGTGCTGAAAGGAGAGTTCGGAGTCCAGGATTACACCTAGCACCATGGCATGCAGGGGCGGGGCGGGTTGATAGTTGTGCTTTCACTTTTGACAGGGGAAGGGGCACGGGGGGTAGAGGGGTGGGATATTATGAGCTTGGTTTTGGATATATTGAGTTTGAGGAAGTGGTTTGACATCCAGGCTGATATGTTGGCCAGTAGGTTAGTGATACGCGAGGAGACTGTTGTTGTGAGCTGAGGGGTAGAGAGGTAGATTTGGGTGTCATCAGTGTAGAAATGATATTGAAAGCCTTGGGAGGCTATCACCTGACCCAGGGAGGAGTTGTAGATTGAGAATAGGAGAGGTTCGAGAACAGAACCTTGAGTGACCCCAGCGGAAAAAGGAAGAGGACAGGAGGATGTAGAATTGCAAGTGACACTGAAGGTGCGGTGCGATAGGTAGATTGAGAACCAACAAAGAGCACAGTCACAAATACCAAGGGAGTTAAGTTTTTTGAGGAGGAGGGGGTAGTCAACCATATCAATTCTGAAGTTGTATTCTGTCGTACGAAGGTTTTTGTAACTTTAGTAACCTCTTCATTTTGGATACAAGTCTAGCATGCAACAAAAAAACAAATGACTTATCTGATCGTATGTACTAAGCCGTAGTGTCATTTCGAGGCTCCTTTGCCAATGTATGGAACTGTAAATGAGCACCTTTCCACCATCTTGGGCAGCACAGTGGCTAAATGGTTAGCAATTCCGCCTGGCAGTAGCAGGATCATTGGTTCGAATCCCAACCATGGCACCACCTGCCTGGAGTTTGCATGTTCTCCCTGTGCCTGCGTGGCTTTCCTCCGGATACTCTGGTTCCTCACACACTCCAAAGACATGCTGGTAGGTGAATTGGCTCCTGTCTAAATTGTCCCTAGTATGTGTATGTATAAATGTAAGTTAGGGATCTTAGATTGTATGCCCCTCGGGGGCGGGGAATGATGTGATTGTACAATATACAGTGGGGATCGAAAGTTTGGGCACCCCAGCTAAACATTGGTATTAATGTGCATAAAGAAGCCAAGGAAAGATGGAAAAATCTCCAAAAGGCATCAAATTACAGATTAGACATTCTTATAATATGTCAAGAAAAGTTAGATTTTATTTCCATCATTTACACTTTCAAAATAACAGAAAACAAAAAAATGGCGTCTGCAAAAGTTTGGGCACCCTGCAGAGTTAATATCTTGTACTGCCCCCTTTGGCAAGTATCACAGCTTGTAAACGCTTTTTTGTAGCCAGCCAAGAGTCTTTCAATTCTTGTTTGAGGTATCTTTGCCCATTCTTCCTTACAAAAGTCTTCCAGTTCTTTGAGATTTCTGGGCTGTCTGTCACGCACGGCTCTTTTAAGGTCTATCCATAGATTTTCAATTATGTTGAGGTCAGGAGATTGTGAAGGCCATGGCAAAACCTTCAGTTTACGCCTCTTGATGTAATCCCCCGTGGATTTCAAGGTGTGTTTAGGATCATTATCCATTTGTAGAAGCCATCCTCTCTTTAACTTAAGCTTTTTCACAGATGGCATCAAGTTACCATCCAAAATTTGCTGAAATTTTATTGAATCCATTTTTCCTTCTACTCGTGAGATGTTCCCTGTGCCACTGGCTGCAACACAACCCCAAAGCATGATTGATCCAACCCCATGCTTAACAGTTGGACAGAGGTTCTTTTCATTCAATTCTGTGCCCCTTCTTCTCCAAACGTACCTTTGCTCATTCCGGCCAAAAAGTTCAATTTTAACCTCATCGGTCCACAGAACTTGTTTCCAAAATGCATCAGGCTTGTCTATATGTTCATTTGCAAAGTTCAAACGATGATTTTTGTGGTGAAGACGTAGAAGAGGTTTTTCTTCTGATGACTCTTCCATGAAGACCATATTTGTACAAGTATCTCTTTATAGTGGAATAGTGTACCACAACTCCAGTGTCTGCCAGATCTTTCTGGAGGGATCGTGCAGTCAAACGTGGGTTTTGCATTGTTTTTCTCACAATCCTGTGAGCTGTTCTGTCTGATATTTTTCTTGGTCTTCCAGATGTTGCTTTAACTTCCACTGTTCCTGATGACTGCCATTTCTTAATTACAGAGGATATTGACATCTGAAAACGCTTTGCTATCTTCTTATAGCCTTCTCCAGCTTTGTGAGCGTCAACTATTTTCAGTTTCAGTTTTCTAGACAACTGCTTAGAAGAACCCATGGTGCTGATTGTTGGGGCAAGGTCAGATGAGTCTGGGCATTTAAAACCTTTGAGATTGACATCACCTGGTCTTCCCAGATGATGATTGAGAACAATCCATGACACTGGCAGGTCTCAGCTTGGCAAAGGGGGCAGTGCATGTTATAAATTCTGCAGGGTGCCCAAACTTTTGCAGACGCCATTTTTTGGTTTTCTGTTATTTTGAAAGTGTAAATGATGGAAATAAAATCTAACTTTTGCTGACATATTATAAGAATGTCTAATCTGTAATTTGATGCCTTTTGGAGATTTTTCCATCTTTCCTTGGCTTCTTTATGCACATTAATACAACTTTTTAGCTGGGGTGCCCAAACTTTCAATCCCCACTGTATATGTAAAGCGCTGTATAAATTGACAGCACTATATAAGTATCTGTAATAAATAAAAAATAAATCTTCCAAGTGTGAATTGTTTATTGTACTTTACCAAATAATAATTGTACCACCTTTCTCGGTATCCATCTTGGGTACCAATCAACTGGCCCAGCCCACACGGACTACGTAGGTGGTAAGAGGTTAACAAAACAAAAGCTCACAGACTTTATTAGAGATTAATTTTTCCAGACTGAGGAACTCTGGCAGAAATGCAAATAATAAAGCCGACAGCTATCCTGATTATTTTGTGTTTATTTTTGATAATTGACTCCGAGGTAGAATGATTCCTCAACACATTTTGTTTATTTAACGCGGATTGGATGAAATAATGAGCCTTTATTATACAAAATTTTTTTTTTGCACAGTTAAAAAAGGTGGAACTCATCTCGACGTGATGCCGAAAAAGCCTCCTTTTTCCGCCCGCCTAATTAAGTGCGGTGTCAGTGTAATTCAAAATATAAAGTTTTCATCAGAGGTAGATTCGCTAACTTCAAATTAAACCGTTCTTCAGGGACTGGAATTTGTGCTCATTTCATTCTGGCCGTCAATCATATCTTGTCTAACACTTGATATCTCCGTGTCGGCCTCGCACAAAATTGGAATCAGTCATTTCAATCCCCCCACCAAACTCTTCAATCATTCTAATTATAACTGTGCTGCCGTTTTCTTTTTTTTTTTTTTTTTTCACCGGTTAATGGTTTTTTGTGCTACGGCATTTGCAACATGTGCGGTTATCAGCTAAAGCGCCATCTGGAACGGCCTAGGAGTAGCGAGGGGAAAGTCATAAAGGTGAAGATGAGTCTAATGTGGACGGATCCCGCTGTGAGTTCTGATAGCCCGCGTGCGGAATACGTTGGATAGTTATGTCAAATAGCTCAATATCCCTGACATAAATTGAAACATTACTGCCTGAGCATTTTACGCTTGGCTGGATGCTCGTATTTTTTTTTTTAAAGTTACGGTTGAACGCCAGATAAACATACAAATACTCAGATGAAATACAAATAGGTAGGCTTGACAAAGGGCCAGTACTGTCCCGATACACGTAGCCCCCTTTGCACATCATCTGGGATGTAATTTCTAGCTCACGAGTGCCAGCTGCTTCCTTGTGCCGCTCTGAGCTTCAGCCATCCAGCCGCTTCCCTGCGGCACTCTGAGCTTCAGTCATCCAGCCGCTTCCCTGCACCGCTCTGAGCTTCAGCCATCCAGCCGCTTCCCTGCGCCGCTCTGAATTTCAGCCATCCAGCCGCTTCCCTGCGCCGCTATTAAGCTTTAGTCATCCAGCCGCTTACCTGCGCTGCTCTGAGCTTCAGCCATCCAACCCAGCCCATCCAGGTTGACATGGCAAGCTTTGGAAAGTGATTGGATGTGGGGTGAAAGGAGAGTTCAGAGTCCAGGATTACACCTTGCACCGTGGCATGCAGGGATGAGTTGATAGTTGTGCCTTTAATTTTGGCAAGGGAAGGGGGACATGGGGGGGACATTATGAGCTTGGTTCAGGAAAGATTGAGTTTGAGGAAGTGGTTTGACATCCAGGCTGATATGTCGGTCAGTAAGTAAGTGATAGGTGAGGAGACTGTTGTTGTGAGCTGAGGGGTAGAGAGTAGATTTGGGTGTCATCAGCGTAGAAAAATGATATTGAAAGCCTTGGAGGCTATCACCTGACCCAGGGAGGAGTTCTGATAGCCCGCGTGTGGAATACGTTGGATAGTTATGTCAAATAGATCAATATCCCTGACATAAATTGTCACATTACTGCCTGAGCATTTTACGCTTGGCTGGATGCTCGTTAGAGATGAGCGAATCGAACTTGTCGAAGTTGAATTCGTTTCGAAGATTAGGAAAAATTCGATTCGCGCCGAATCCGAAAATTAGCAAACTTCTGATGCGCGAATCGAAATTTTCCAAAAATGGCGGCGACATGTGTGGCGACGGAGCGGGGATCTCTGGGAAGGCGCGCAGACAAGGCGCGCTGACCCATAATGCATTCATTCATGACATGTGATCGCATTAGCCAATCAGCAGCCAGCCAGCCAGCACTGTGTAATGGTCGAGCTATAAATTGCGGCCATCTTAGAGTTCTCCATTAGCCTCCGGTCATTCAAGAGAGACAGACCGCTCTGTATTAGGGACAGAGTTAGGGCCAAAGAGACTTTAGGGCCACAGAATCGTTACTTAGGGACACAGAATTGTTACTCAGGGACACAGAATTGTTACTAAGGGACACAGAACTGTTACTCAGGGACACAGAATTGTTACTCAGGG